GGCGGTCGCCAGCCAGCGGGCAGTCTACAGCTCAGTGCGCTGGCAGCCGGCGGGCGATTGGTCGCCGGCGGGCGGGCGGACTCCAGCCGCCCAATCACGCGGGCAGCAGGTGGGCTGTCGCCAGAAGGCGGGCGGTCTCAAGCCGCCCAGTCGCGCGGGCAGCCACCAGGTGATTGGTCATCGGCGGGCGGGCAGACTCCAGCCGCCCAGTCGCGCGGGCAGCAGGTGGGCTGTCGCCGGCGGGGGTGCGGTCTCTAGCCACCCAGTCGCGAGGGCCTGGCCTCTAGTCCCCTGGTTTCTCCTGCTAGTCCTGGCTTCTCCTGCTAGTCCAGTCTTCCCCTGAGTGATGCCTCTGGGCAGTTCAAACTGTACTCTGGGCCTGAAGTTTGCTGGGTATGGAGGGTGGCTATTGGGAACCCGGGCACTCTATTGTTTTGATTTTTTCCGCTTGCCCCTCCCCCAGCGCTTGCAAGACAGGTTTCATTTTCGCTGCTGATGGGAGGGGGAGTTGGAGGTCAGGTGTCTCTCCCTTTCCCCGCGTCTTTATGCAGGCTCGTTCTGATAATCCCTCCCCCGGAAAGGCTAGGAGAGATTTTATGCGAATTCCCCGCTGTATGGGAGATGGGCTGAGTAACACACACCTGTTTTATTGTTGCAATCTGTCGGAGACTGGCGGTGGTTATGTCAGCTCTCCAAGATGGTGGCCGCTGGCTTCCTTGTTGGAGTTTCCATTGTGGGGGATAGAAGTGGATCGCTTCCTTCCCCGTCTGAAATCCCAAACTCAGCCTGGGGCTCAGTGAGGGCACAGCCGGCAGGATTCCACAGAATCCATAGCAACGTTTCTCTCTGCTTGCTGGTCGCTTCTCGGCGGTGACCCACTGTCTGTAGCCGCGGGGCGGGCAGTGCGGATCAGTCAGCCTGGATCTCCGGTGGTACAGTTGGCTCGTGTTTGAGACTCAATTACCGGACCTCGGTGCTGGAAATCCTTCCTTTAGGTTTCGGTGTACCCCAATTTTGCTGTAAATTCCTAACAAGATAGTTTTTTGTCGTTCTAACTCGTTATTCACCTGCACAGTGACACGGTACACGGGGTGTGATGCACTCTATTCGTGGCCATCTTGGAGTCTTACCGTATAATCTTGATATAAGGTTTTAACATCTCTTTCTCAACAATTAACGGTTTAAAAAGGCCAAAAAAAGAAAATAATAAGATGGGACTGGGAATGTGGCAGTGGTACAGTGCTTTCCTGGCATGCATGGGGCCCTGGGTTTGATCCCCAGCACCACCACCAGAAAAACAGAAAAAAAAAAAAGCTATATAAGAAAGCACAAATAGCAGCTGTTTTAGTCAGCTTTTTCACTCTTGTGTCCAAAAGACCTGACAAGAACAATTATAAAGAGGAGTAGTTTCTTTGGGCTCATGGTTTCAGAGGTCTCCTCTCATCGACGGCCAACTCCATTCCTTGGAGCCTGAGGTGAGACAGAATATCATGGAAGAAGTATGTGGCAGAAGAAAACAGCTCAGGACTTGGCACCAAGGGAGGAGAGTGTGCTGTGCTCAACAAGGACAAAATATATACCCGAAAGGCATGCCCCCAGCCACATCCCACCTGTAGTTACTACCCAGTTAATCCATTCAAGTGGATCAATGCATCGATCAGGTCAAAGATATCATAATCCAATCATTTCACCTCCAAATTTCTTGCATAATCTCACACATGAGCTTTTGGAGGATGCCTCATACCTAAACCATGACAGCAACCATTTCACATGGAGCGGTGGACAGCACAACTGCCACTAGAGAGGCCAGATGATTAATCTGGGGTAAAGAGCTAACTAGTCTGCTAAAGCCCATTCATAGAATGACCAGATAGCCAAAATCCAAACATGCTGAAAGCTAAACCACTGAATATCAACTTGCTGAACAACCAATTTGAATTATTGAGATTTTTCCAAAAATGTGTTTCATCTCCACTCCTGACCTTGCCTGTGTCCAAACTGCGAAAGTTGTCAGAATCAAACTGGAGTCACCCATGTCAAACCCTAACAGATTGGAGCCACCTGCGTGTAACCCTAGCAGAAACAGAGAAACCATGAGAGGGAAGGTTTCCTCGCACAGATTTACCTGATGACAAGAACCATCAAAAGACTGACAAAACCACAATTTTACACAAAGGCCACAGCATCCTTGCAGAAAAAATACATCTGTAGGATGCCTACCGTGCAAGAGCCAGTTCAAAGTTGACTGGCACCATCCTTGTGGCCACAGATTGTTTCAGAAGAGCTATGTAACCTTGCCTATCTTACCCTTTTGGAAACCTTGTCCTTCTTTTGCCTCCACTATGGCAAGTATATCTTGGATTGCAACCCCTGTCATCCTGACTAAAATCTTTGGAAAGCTGTTCACTATACCATTCATTGTAGGTTGATTAAAGCCACCAAAGAAACCCCATTTAGGCAAGTTTTCTGCAATCATTTTGTATTGCAGACACAAGAACTGGCACAGATGCACATACAGTCAAACGTGCAACCAAAGCTTTAGGGGAGAGGATCGGGGAGGTTTCTTTATAATTTGGCCATCAGCAGATTTGATGCTGATAAACTGCTTTTAGTGACTAATGGCCCAGAGTCTACAAATGGGGGTGCTTGAGTCAAGAGGGGCCAAACGTTGTACTTTAAAAAAAGAAAAGTGTGTCTTTCTTAGATGGAGATACTCCTTTGAAAGCTTTTAAGGTGAAAGAATTTTAAAGTTTAGGGGTCTGCAGACCAGTGATAGTGTCCATGGCCTTAGGCCTAGGACCTAACCTGAGTTGCCAGGTCCTGTAGGGATTTGGAGAGGAGACATTGAGTTTTAATTTTGACTTTTCAGCCTGGTTAAACTTCCAAATCTTCTTCAATAGGCTAAACAATGCTGGACCTGTGCCAAAGGTGCTTCCGGGTATGAAGGAGGGGTACTGCCCCAGTGTGCTCTGGGTAGTGATGGAGAGTGGCCAAGCCAAGGGGTGTCAGTATCATATCCTGTTTCCTGGATTTCTGGGAGGTAACCAGTCACAAAAACAGTGGGGCCTATGGTAACCCAGCGCTGCTAGAGACCCATACCTGGATAACTGGGATAGAAATTCACTTTCCTGGCTGAATGTTCTCTCTGATATGTGGATGCTATATAAAATAAGGGGGAGGGAGGACAATAGAAGTTCACTGGATTAGACAAAGGGGAATGAAGAAAGGGAAGGGGTGGGAATAGGAGAGACAGTAGAATGAATCGGACTTTGCTCTCCTATGTTCATAGATGAATACACGACTGAGTGTAACTCACATCATGTACAACCACAAAAATGGTAAGTTATATTCCATGTATGTATAATATGTCAAAATACATTCTGCTGTCATGTATAACTAAAAAGAACAAATAATAAAAATAAATTAATAAATTTCCTCTCAAGTATTCTGAGTGAATGATATGGAAATGACAACCCCAAAACAGTGGCCCGGAAGAGGGAGGGAGGAAGAAGTCGAAACACTGATAATCTTGATCCTTTCCCAGTGACAGAACAATCTCTGGGAAGGAAGCAAACATCATCCAGTGATAAGACAATCCCTAGGAAGGAGATATCCAACAAACCTAAAAGTGACAGTCTCTGGAAAGAAGCCAAAACATTGATCCTTCCCTGCCACAAAATCCTTTCCCAGTGACAGTATAATAGACCCCGGAGGGAAAGAGATAAGATGTAAACATTTGAAATTTGTTTTTACAGGGCAAGTATGGAGGGTCCAGAGTTAGCATTCAGTGCTTATCTATTAAAGTCTTCAGTGCTTGTCCGTTAAAGTTTTCAATGGTTAAGCCATCTCCCAGTGTGTAACCTATGTGAACCCAGACTTCTGTAATCAGAGGCCGTTCTCTACCCAGAAAGTGAGCCATCTGATGCCTGACTCCACTGCTGAACAAAAAGCAGAGCTGATCCTGAAGTCTGGTCCCGGCCCGGTTATTTGTACTTTCCTTATGGTGCCGAAAGGGTTTTGGTTATTTTTGCTTATACTGAGTATTCCCGGAGAGGAGGGGCCCTGGGCGGCAGGCATCTGGACTGGGTCCCAGATTTAGAGAAGGTCTGCACTTCGGGGGACCTCTGTTTCCGCTGTCCCTCCAAGATTCGGTCTGGAAGAGCAGGTTTCCCCCGCCCAGCCCACCTTCTCTGGGTTCTTCTAACTGGCTCTCCTCTTCAGAGAGGAAAACGCGGCTCGGCGGGCTCAGCCTGTGGCCTCCCCGCAGAGGGCCCAGCGTCTGAATTCCGGGGTAACACAGCAGGAAGCGGATAATGGTGAGGCCCAAGCTTAGTTCACTCATTGCGTGTTTACTTAAAATCCCACATAACAGAACAGACCAGCAAATAGTCACATGAAATGCAATGGCACGCAGGGGTCAGTAGTGCGGTGAGTGAAGGGGCTGGGAACAGATCCTGAAGACGCGCCAGGATCTGGCGGCCGCTCCGGCCATCCTTGCTGGGCCCCGTGCCCTTGGGCCTGCAGCCCTCGGGCTCCCCAACTCAGGGTCGAGTTTACGTGACAGCGGCCTCTGGGAGACACGGGTCACTTCTCGTCGGAGCATCCCCACCTGGCTCCTGGACAGGATGCTCTCGGTGTCGGGTGCCTGCATGAATGAACAGAGACAGAAGGATGCTTTCACGCGGGCGCGTGCAGCTGCAAGCTGGACAGAGCCGGTCCGCCCGCCAGCTGTCTGGCAGCCCTGGGGAGCAGGTGATGGGCAGCGACCAGGCCCCGGCCCGCCCCGGCCCCGCGGGGCCTTCTGGGAAGCGTAGTCCGCGCCTGCGCCGGCCGGAAGCGGGACCACCCTCCCGGGATGCGCGGCGCGGGGGCGGGCTCGGCCAGGCGCGGGGCGGGCCCGGGCGCGCCCACTCCGCCGCTCCCCCGCGGCCCGCGCTCGCGGCCCCGCCTCCTGCCGCGCGCAGCCGGGCCGCCCGGGCCGACGGTGGCTGCCTCCGCCTGTGGCCCCCGGAAGCTAGGCCGGCCGCGGGGCGGCCGCGCGGCTGAGTGCTGGGATGGCGCGCCAGGTAAGGCGAGCCGGGGCGGGCGCGCGGGCCGATGGACGCGGCGGCGGGTCTGCTGTGCGCCGCGCGGCCGGGGGCGGCCAGGGGCGGCCGGGCGGGGAAGAGCCGGGACCCAGCCAGGCCAGCCCGCTGCTGAGGACTTCGTGCGCTGAAGTCCAGGTCCAACTCCGACCCCTACCCTCTTCCGGGACCCACGGAACCGAGTCCCAGCCTCCTGGGGAAACTCCTTCTTTGGACTTAAGCATCGCCCTCCCTCTCTGCGTGTTTCCTTTTTGCTACAAGGTATCCTGAGAGTGGTGGGCATGGAGGCCTAGGGGGAACTACTAAATCCGATACTTTTATTTTTGACAAGATCCTGGCTCCAGGGAGTGGGGAGGTGGAAGTGGAGAAATAGAAGATAAAACAGATTCCAAGTTTTATGTCGGTAAAATGCCTAGTGGTATATCCAAGAGCTGGAGGGAGCCCCTGGGCACCTTTGAGACTGAGTTTGTGGGCAGTGAAAATGCCAGTGGGGAGTTGCAGGGTTTCCTGGACAGGAGCTGGCAATGCAATTGTGGTGGCCTCTGAACTTTGGCCACCTTTAGGCAACTATGTTGGGATAGTGGTGAGGACCGTGTGTGGCCAGGTAGAGCAGGTACTGACCCAGGATCTTAGCATGGCAAGTGCCTAATAAGCATCTTGGGAGAAGGGAGAAGCCAGGAAGCCAGATGGTACAGGCTAGGGCAGTCTCCTTTGTAGCTCTGGCTGACAGGGCAGTCCAAGGACACCCTTGCTCAGATATGCCCACAAACCCCATCCTAGGGCCTCCTCGTACAGTAGTTTTCTGTTCTGCAAAGTCAGGGGGTTGGAGCACTGGTTTTTTAAATCTAATGTGCAGGGAAGTATGCATTCTCATGCTATGTGACTACTTGGAGAAGGTGGCCTGGATTGGCCTTGGGGAATGCAAGGTCACAGTGAGAGACAGGGCCTGTAGTCTTCATATCCAGTGTGACTCCCAGGAGCCCAGGACCTTGTAAGCACAGTGAGGGCAGTGTGGTACAGGGTCTGATCTGCTAGTCTGAGTCACCTGGAGAATGGGTCTAGACTAGCAAGGACTGTGAGAGGTGGACAAATCCTCAGGACACTGAAGCTGCAGTTTTGCATGGGGCTAGTCATGCAGTAGAAAGCGTGTTTTAAGAGAGAGCTACAGTAGGCCTGGATCAGCCCCAAAAGCTTTGCTGTGTTGGTTGGGAGAGGAGAGCAAGGTTGAGCACAAAGAGGACAGTGGCTTTCCTTCCCTGAAGATGAGTGTTTGCACACTTACTTGTACACACACACACACACACGCGCCTCACTCTTCTTCCACTCAGAACCCTGAGAAGCCTTTGACAGGAGCACCTACCCAGGCCACAGTCAGTTCCCATTCGCACTTTATACCTCCATCACCCAGGAGTCCATCTTGAAGCTGAGGTGGGGAGACCTCTGGAAAGCATTGCTCACAGATGTCTAAAGAAACCAGATATATTTAGCCTGGCGATAAAGAGTTCCTGGGAGGTTAGGAGTAGTGTGTGGTAGAGCCAGAGGTGGCAGGCTGTGCCCTGCAGGTGAATATTAGCAGGCAGATCTGGCTGCAGATCAGTCAGCATTTATTTTAGGTATTTTTCTTATATCAATTGATTTTTGTCTCCACATCATCCCTATGAGGTAGGATGTTGTGATCCCAGTGTTATAGATGAGTTTGCTAAGGCTCAAATGGATTTAGTAGTTTGGCTAAAATCCCATAACTAATCTGATGTTGTTCATTGCAACCCTAGGTTATGGTTCCCAGGAGAATCAACTTTAAGTTATCAATTCAACTGTGAGTTATCAAACTCACAGAAGACAGATGAATCAGGATGCTGTGATTTAAGGGTGTCTCCCAAATTTCATGTGTTGACAGGTGCAAATTTGGGGAGGTGATTGGGTCTGAGGGCTCTGTCCCTGTGAATGAATTACTCTATTCATGGATTAGTGGTTATCAGGGAGCGGCCTTGTATAAAAGAGAGAGGGAGAGAAAGAGAGAATGCCAGCCCCCTCGCCATATTATGCCCTGCATTAGGTTATGATGCAGCAAGAAGCCCTCAGCAGATGCCCTCAAGTATGGAGTTTCGAGGCTCTAGACCTATAAAAAATAAACGTCTTTTCTTTGCAAATTGCTCAGTCTCAGATATTCTATTACAGAAACAGAAGTGGACTAAGACACAGATTAAGCCAATTGCTTCAATGAAAAATAGAACTGACAATCAAACTGGAAATAAATGGTGGCCAATTAAGTCTTCGGCCACCTGTCTTGTTTGTTTTGTGCTGCTATACCAGAACACCTGACAGGGCAATTTATAAAGAACAAAGATTTATTTCACAGTTTTGGGAGATCACAAGTCTAAGATCAAGGGGCCGGGATCTGGCTCTTGTGGAAGGGGGAAGGGCAAGAGAGAAAGAGCAAGGGGCTGAACTCAGCCTTTTACCAGGAAACGATCTCAAGGTCATTAACCCACTCCCACAACAGTGGCATCAGTCTGTTCTTGGCCTGATGACATCATAAAGTTTCCACCTCTCAACACTCGAGTTAGGGGTGAGGTGTCCAACACATGGACTCGGGGGTCACACTCACACCATAGCACCACCTGCAGTGGAATCTGCACGGGAAGCCTGGTCCTGACACAGAGCTGCTTGGGGAGCATGCAGGTCCGCTCCAGTGCAGAGCTGGAGTGGCCAAAGTGTCCACTGCCATTCAGGAAGAGCTCTGCAATGCAGGCAGAGCATGTGTGCTGCCTGGTCAAGGCCAGGGACACTCAGACCCTTGGGTTTGTGAGACAGTGCCACTCTGTTGGCACGCCTTCTCTTCAGGCAGCATGCATTGCTGTTGACCCGTCTCCACCTATTTTGTGCTCCTCCAGTCCCCCGAAAGGTCCACATGCAACACCTGAACACTCCTGGCACTGTTGGGTGACAACGTTGCTGTGCCACTGCTCTGATTATTCCTTCAGGTGGTTAACTGTTCCCACTTGCTTTAACTTCAGCAGTGAGACAGTTGGACTGCAAATAGGGGCTTCCAGCCTTCTTGACTCTGTGACCCCTCTTTTTAACTTCCCCAGTCCCCACATGGTGGTATTCTCAGTGCATTAGGTTGTAGTTTTTTCACATATTTTAAATTAAATCCATATTACTTTTAAAGGACATGCATGATGGCCATCACAGCATCTGTACCTTTAAACTTAGTAATCAAGGAATACAGGTAAAATGTGCCTGCTCAGTCCATAGGTGGCATTTATGTCCATTTGGACCCTAGGCCTATTGTGACAAGTCTGAAGCTCCCAGCAGCCTTCATTAGTTGGATACTGACTTGCTTTGATGACCTTTTGGCCCTGTCCCACTCTGCAATCCCCCATGGTTCCCAAGCCCTGGCTGGGTAGGTCTCTAGGAGGAAGAGGGAGAGCAGAGAGGCCCAGCAGATGGAGGGGAGGACTGAGGAGTGATGGGCCCAACACAGTGGGGCATGAGGTGGCCAAGCATAATGGAGCCCTGTGCTGGGGTCCCCAGGAGCATCCAGGGCTCAGGAATCCCTAGGAGGACAAGCAGGTCGACAGGCTCACACCTGATTCATTACAATGGGAGGACACAGCAGGCTCAGCAGTAGCAGAGGCACAGGAGTGAGGTCAGTGGAAACTGGCGGATGGTTTCCCAGGGGCCTCCTCCAGACGCACCTGACACCGGATGCACTTCATTCTTCCTGAATGGCATTGTGACAAGCCGTGCGTTAAGTTGTGCATCTAGGCAGTCACTAGAGAGACTGTCTAGCTGGGTTTGTGGATGGTGCCCACAGCACCAGGGGGTGTGACTGCATGGTGCTAGCTGTCAGCTGTCAGGGTGACAGGCAGGGGAGTACAGTGAGTGAGTGACAAGGCTGCCAGTTAGTAGCTGTGACGGTTTTTAAAATCACTGAGTAGATGAAAAAAGACAGAAGCTGTTTTCTTTGCTTTACAAGTGTCTTCATTTTCTTTATAATTTCTTTCTTACAAATCATAATTCGCCTTCATTTCTGAACCAGAAGGACACTTCTCAGAACTTACATTTTGCTTAATTTATACAAAGTTCATTTTTGCCTCAACTTTAAATTCTTTCCTGTCCATTTTCTGGGTGTCATGGTTGTTTTAAAATCTACTGAATGACACATTTTAAAGAAACTAAGACAGAAGGGTTGCTTTTGCCTTAAAAAGCCACAGGGTAGCTGAAGATGAGCGTGGAAGGTGTAGAAATCGGATGAGTACTAGGTGTGTAAGAACTCCATTTCCAGAGCTGTCCAGGGTTCTGGGGTTTCTTCTGGGTACTTCTCTAAGAAAGGCACAGTGTCTAATAGACTCCCATCCCCAAGGAAGAGAGGGTGAAACAGAGGTCTGGGGTAGGGAGCGTGGCGAGGTGAGGACAGCTGGACTACAGCCTGGAGTGTCACTGGACAGGGGTCCAAGGAGGTCTCTCCAAGGGGACAGTGGGATCTTAACTTAGCCCCAGCAGGTTCTTCACTGTGTTGCTAAAAAGAACAGGACTGTCAGAAGCCAGGCACAGGGAGAGGTGTGGACGCCTCTCACCTGGGACTGGGGCTCGCCCAGGGTTGAGCTCTCTGAGTCAGGATTTTTCTGGGAAGAGAAGTGCAGATTCCCAGGCAAGCTTCCTAGAAAATCAAATCCCATGTCAATCATTTGATATATGGGTTCAGAATGATTCTTCTTGGTTAAGCATTCTAGCCATAAATCAGTTGTGGGCTCATCGTGTGGGTCTTTGAATCTAGTGATGTTTACATTGATGATGTTTCTGTTCTGGTTGACCTGATGCAAACATGTGCTGGAGGTTTTGTTCACCTGACTAAAGAGATAGTTTGACTGGTTCTGCTCGTACACCTGGGCCGCTGTCTAGTAAGGGTCTCTTTATCTGTCTCCTGGAGAGTCTACCTATGCAGAAGGGCTTCGTGGGCATCACCTCATGGAGTCAGTGCCTGTGTACTGCAGGGTCCCCATGGGGATGCGCTGTGTGAACGTCAGTCCTCAGAGGACAAGCAGGACGTGGAAAGTGAGGCAGGCTGTGCCTGGCAGAGCTGGGAGCTGGACTCAGCCTGGCAGCAGAGGGTCTGTGGAAGAGCTGTGCCCATAAGATTGGAATCTGAAGGTCAAGGACTTAAACACAAGTCAGAGGGGTCACAGGCTACTAGAGTGGCCTAGGGAGGGGGTCAAACTTTGTTTGATTCCTGAGTGTTGTAGCATCCCTACTAAAAAAAAAAAAAAAAAATACTTTTTCTTCTTAATTATATAGATGTGCATCCCTATCCCTAATAAAAAATCCTGAAATCTAAAATGCTCCCAAATCCAAAACTTATGAGCATCATGCTGCATGTGGAGAATCCCACACCTGAGCTCGTGTACCAGGTCACAGTCAAAAGGCAGGCACATTAAAAAATTCCTTCAGGCCATGTGTATAAAATGCGTAGGAAACATAAATGAATTTCAGGTTTATATTTGGGTCCTGTCCCAAGTCTGTCTCATTATGTAGAAGCAAGTATTCCCAAACTGGAAATCCAAAAGACTTCTGGTCCCACGTGTTTGAGATAAGGGATCCTCACCCTTGATAACTAATTGGTTTTATCAGCCAACTCTTTTTTATTTTAATCCTCAGCACTAGGATCTCAGGCCTTCACATTCTCAGGGAAGTGTGCTTATTAACTCAGAGAATCTCACAAGGTGAAGTCCAGGCTGGCCAGAGTTCTCATCCCAGGGTTGACTTTTGTGAGGCCTAGGGACTGGGCGACATGAGACTGTTGTAGTTTCCTGGGCTGCTGTGACAGAGCCACAGACCCAGGTCTTAAAGCAACAGAGCTTCATTCCTTCTGAGTCTGGAAGCCTGGAACTGAGATATCCATAGCTGCACTCCCTCTGCAGGTTTGAGAGCAGGCTCTTTTCTTGCCTCTCCCAGATCCTAGGGACCCAGGCTTTCCTTGGCTTGTGGCTGTCACTCCAGTATCTTTTCCATCTTCATATGGCCTCCTCCCCTCAGGGTCTGTCTCTGTGTCTCTTTTCTTTTTATACAGACACAAGTCACCTGGTTTAAAGGATCACGGTACTTGTGTGACTTCTCTTAACTAGTTACACCTGCAGTGACTCTATTTCCAAGTGAAGTTACATGCACCGATTTGGAGATTAGAGCTTCAACAAGTCCTGCTGGGGACCCAGCTGACTGCCAGCACCGTCTCTAGCCAATTCTTGTTGCTTCTGGTATCAGGTCCCACCCACCCACTGCTCCCGCTCCATCCCCGTGTTCTCCCAGAGACGTGTGCAGGGCACTGAGCTGAGGGGGTAGCTGGGCTGGCCCTGCTGGCAGGACTGCCAACATTCCCCAACCACCCGCAGGTGCCCATCAGCTTCATGGACTTGGCCGTGCGGTTCTCCGAGGAGGAATGGAGGCTGCTGGAGGAGCGGCAGCGGGAGTTCTACCGAGACGTGATGCGGGAGAACTACGAGACGCTGGTCTCCGTGGGTATGCCTCCACTGGCCTCCCTGGGGTGCAGGCGGCGAGTGCCAACTGAGAATGGAATTGGGGAGGCTGGAGTCCAGGAGGCCCCAGGACTGTAGGACCCCGGGCCCCCCAGGCCTTAGTCTTCTCATCTACGAAAGGAACAGTTTTAGGGGCCTCCTGAAAGCTGGGTGCTGGGCCGGGCCTCCCTTCTGTTCCCGCTGGGTACCATTTGGTGAGGTCTGCAGTGACTGCTAGGTTCTGCTGCTCTGGTTCTTTGAGTGTGGGTGGCCCCACCAACATGCACAGAGATACTTGCACAGTATGTGGGGTGCCTGGGCCACAACTCGATTCTGGGACGGAGAGACCATTCTGTTTCCAGGGTGACTGTCCTTGCTTTTCTCCCCAGGGACAGATGAGCTGCTTCCCCTTTCTGCTTTTCTGTCACCTACGGAGCCTGGAGCAGCTATGGGAGGAGGGAGTCACGGTGATGAGGGGCAGGAGCCTCCTGTAAAGGGAAGCCCCCCGGGTAAGTCCTCTGGGCAGACTCTGGGCTCCCCCTCTTACTCATGGTCCTCAGGTGACACTGTGACCTCAACATGCTTAATTTAGCCCTCCCTACTGCAGCCCTCCCTGGCTTTGACCTGTCACTGCTCTGGACTAGGAGCATGTTACATATGGTCCATTCCACCGAGCAGTGCCAGAAGAACCTGGGGTCACCCTGGAGAGCACACCCACCTTAGGCCTGCTCCTGCCTCCAGCGGAACCCTTATCCCTGCCGTCCCTGCAGAGCCAGCCTGCGGCTCCTCTGATGGTAGACTTGCTCCACAGGGCCCAGATTGAGCAAGGCCGGGAGTTTAGGGGATTCCAGGAAAGGCAGAGGGCTAGCTGGTGGGGACAGCCCTGCTTGACATTCCCTTAAGAAAGGAGACAGGTGTAGGAGACCCCTGTGTCCCTAAGCACACTGCTCCCCCCTGATCCTGGCTGCTCCTCCTGTGGTCGGGAGGGCTGCTTGAGGGACAGGTGCTGAGCAGACAGGGGCGCGGGGATCACTGTGGCCCTCCACAGGAAGACAGCCTCGGCACAGCCTGCACCTCACCGCCCTGGTGCAGTTGGTGAAGGGGATCCCAGAGTTCTTGTTCCGGGAAGTCAAGGGCACTGAGGACAGCCCTGAGAGCAGGGGAACCAGCCTGGACGGGGAAAGAGCGAGCCCTGAGGGTAAGTCAGCCAGCCAGGCCGGTCTCTGTGGCGCTCACAGCTCCTCCACAAGGTGAAGTCCAAGTCCACACCCTGGGCCCAGTGTGCCGCCCAGCTCCTCTCCACTCCTGCAGGGAAGCAGTCGCCAGTGGCTGTGTGCCAGCCCCTGGCTGTGTGCCTGGCCTCTGAGCTCCTGGGTGCGGTGAGTGCAGAGTAGCTTGGGCTTCTCACCTTGGCCCCAACCTGTGCCTTGGGCCCTGCGTGGTAGGTGAGCTGTGTTTATTGATGTCCTGCAGATGAGGGAGGCTGAGCCTTCTGAGTGGCCAGTGAGGCCCAGGTCACTTCCCAGTCAGTGCTCTTTCCACCTCTCCAGGCATCTGTCCTCCCCCTGGTCCCTGCTCACTCACCTCAGGCCCCACCTCCCCACTCAGCTGGTGACAGATGAGAATGGAGTGAGCAGAGGCTGGAGGAGTGCAGCCTCGTCAGTGCGTGACCAGGGCTGTAATGTGGGGGTCAGCTTAGTGACAGCGGTGCCTAGGTCCCTGGTGTCCTGGCCATTGTTAGTGGAGCATGGCAAGGAAGGACCCCGGTGGTGACAGTGGCAGGAGCACCTTGGCATTAGTGTCTTCTCCCCCTCAACAGTGACCATGGAAGTGGAGTCTTGCCCTCCCCCAGGTCTGCTCAGCTGCCTTCCGGACAGCCCTGTGAGCCAGCCCAGCCTGGCCACTACACCGACCAGCAGTTCGTCCTCCAGTGGCCCGCCTGGAGATGGGGGGCCCGGAAGACCCCTCCTCATCAGTGAGTCTAATCCAGCAACGATGGGGACCATCAACACTTCAAGGTCCTCAACCCTGGAGTCAGGGAACTTGAACCCTCACCCTCTTTGTTTTCTCTGGGATTCAGTCTCCTCTGCTGCTGAGTGGGGGCGAAGGTCCCAGAGAGCAGGGCAGCATACTTTGCTTCTGGTCAGGAGACCAAATGGGAGGGGTGCAATGCCTGGTCCCCTGGAGGCCTCTCATCCACCCCTTATTGCTGAGGACCATGTGCATGTACACAGGCAGTTTCTGCCACAGGGCCCAGCAGGTAACTCACCTGTGTGCACCTCTTCTGACTCTCAGACCGTCTAATAGCAAAGCCTAACCTCAGAGAAGGCCACAGTAGCCCTAGAATTTCTCTGGGGTCTCATTGTACCTTTAAAAATTCTTGCAAATTTTGCATTTGTCTAAATATCTTTTTATTAGAATATTTTGAAGTAATATGGAATAAGATTGGCATTCCCAGGGCTGGGGTTGAGGCTCAGTAGTAAAGCATTCGCCTAGCATGTGCAGGGTCCTGGGTTTGATCCTCAGCACCACATAAAAATAAATAAAATAAAAGAAAGAAAATAAAGGTATGGTGTCCAAATACAACTAAAAAATAAATATTAAAAAAAAAAAAAGATTGGCATTCCCCAAAACACAGCCTGCTTAGCCTCTGATTTCAGGTGTCATCCACCCACATGCCCTGACATTCCATGTGCCCTGATTTGAAAAGCACAAGTGTGAGAGTGGGGTCAGTGTGTTGAAGCTGCAGACATTACTTGCTGAGCGGTGTTCGGAGGCTGAGGTCGGGAGGAAGTGTCCGGGCTTGTTCGAGTGAACCGTCTTGGTATTTACAGTTGAACTAGAAGGAAACAGGGAAAGGTCCCCAGCCCTCCTGGAACAGGTCCTCCAAAGCTAGCTTCTGGGACTTGTCTGCCCCCAGGGAGTTGAGGAACTAGAGGCGTCTCTCCTCGTGGTGACTGGATCTGGGTGATCCCAAAGTGGAGCCCAGGCTAGAAAGGCCTTCCTTGTCTTCTGCAACAGAAACTGGGGACAAACCATGGCCAACAGGAAGGGGAGGCCCAGGAACGCCTGCTGAGGAGCTGAGCCCTCCCACCTGCAGCTCTGGCCAGAGGAAGAACCACCAAATCCAGGAGAGAGGGACCTCAAGGACTGGTGAGACTGGCTTTCCTGGGGATGAGATCAGGCCTGCCCTGGAGCTGAGTGGGCTACAGGGGAATAGTCAGTTTAGTCTTGTAGCAGCCTCAGTGGGCAGGCCTCGTCTGTTCACATGGGTGATTCTCAGCTGCCCAGAGATCCCAGTGACTGTAGAAGGTCTTACGTTGCCCTGTCAGGACTACAGTGACCTCAGTGACCTTGTCTGTGTGCAGGAATCTCTCCTGGGAATAGCCCCTTGCAAGGCCTCATCAACTGTCTGAAAGAAATCCTTGTGCCTGGGCCCCAGAATGCTGAGGCAGCACCAAACTTACTACCTGCTGTCCCTCTCCTGGGTGCATCAAGGTTGACCACGGTGAAGCCGGGGCCAGCAAGCCCACCCTGGCCAGGTGAGTCCTTGGGCATCTGATGCCCTCAGGCCAAGGGCTCCAAAGTGCCTGGAAAGCCATTCTGTAGCTATTTCTCTGTTCCACACTGTCTCCCTTGAGGATCATTACTAACCTGGCTGCTCCTGTATTCCCAATGTCATGTGACTGAAACCAGGTGGTTGTGTGTGTGTGTGTTTGTGTGTGGTGCTGGGGATTAGAACCCAAGACCTTGTGCATGAAAGGCAAGCATTCTACCAACTGAGCCATATCCCCAGCCCCAGGTGACTCTTAAAGAAGCATTAGGATAGGAAAAAAAACTCAGAAGCACGCATGCTGCCCTGGTTGCTCTTTGTTCTTCACTTTTCCTAACCTGGGACTCAGGAGAAGAGCCACAGTGCTCAAGTGTTACTTCCTGTTGACACTTGGTGAGGTGCTCAGAGTGGCCCCAGTCTGGACAGCCAGTGGGGCAGGAGCTCTGGTCTGGAGTGACACTTTATTATGTCTTTTATTTTTTCTCTTTAAATACTGCCTGCATGTTATTTTATTTTTTGTTAAGTTTTATTTTTCTTTTTTAATTTTTTGGTTCTTTTTAGTTATACATGACAATACAATCTGTTTTAAAGGCTGCTGCAGCTTTGGTCCTTGGTTCACTCCACGGGGTCCGGGTGGGGTTAACTTCAACAGTGTGCCTCTTACACGCACTGTGTGTGTCACAGCCCCTTCAAAGTAGGCTGCGCTTGGGACCAGGGCACTGTCCAGTGCCCCGCCTCCTTCACTCTGCCTCTGAGTGCCTCTCCGTTCTCACCCGTCCTGTTCTGGGAGGGATGGTTGATAGGCATTTTTAAATTGGGCACCAAAATAACAGTGACTTAAACAAGACTAAATGAGGCATGGGAAGACCTGACTCACATCTGCAGATTTCTGGCCCTGTATCTTCACTGCACACTAGATGGATCCTGTCTGGTGCGAGGACTGGACTCTGGGCTCTGGTGGACATGTGTGCCTTTTTCCTTAGTGAAGACTGAGTCACCTTCGGGGGATCCTCCTCTCCAGGGTCTGCTGAACTGTCTGAAGGAGATCCCAGAGGCCCAGGACAGGTGTCCCAACCCCTCAGGAGCAGGGGACCTGCTGCTACAAGAGGATCCAGGGACCTTGAATAAGAATTCCGAAGGTAAAGGCCACCTGCTGAGCTGGGGAGGGAAGGGGCTGCCACAAGCAGGGCAGTGGGTGACCTTCCGCAACAAAGCACACAGGCCTCAGTCAGAGGGCCTGATACTGAGCACCATCACTCTGCAAATGGAGCAAGGCACAGAGGAGGTGCCTAATCATTCTTGATCATTTCCCAGACTGGCTTTCATAGAACGAAGTAAAAGTTCAGAAGGAAGGAAGGGATGGTGGGGCAGGAAGCCAAAACATAGAAGCTGGAGTTGTAGCCCAATAGACCTTCAAGCCATAATTGTGATTTGGGGTTCCTGGCAGTAGGTGGTGTGACTGGGATTTGGGCTGGCCTCAGATTGTCTGGTCTGGTAGTAGGACTGGGGCTTGGGGTACCCATCAGGTGTGTTTAGACTGGGTGGTTTGTCTGGCCAAGGAGAAAGATCTGATTTGGTGCTAACTGGACAGAGCTGACTTAATCCTTCTTTAGAAAGCTTCAGAGCAACCCAAAGGGACTTTGATGGAAGTAGGAATGTGACTTTGGTCTGTGCTGGCGATTAAGAAGTGACTGTACCCAGGCACAGTGACTGTTGTGGATGCAGAGGGGCCATAGAAGCCCCACCTCACCTCACAAAACCTGGGGTGAGTCCAGTCCTAAAACCTGGGCTGCCTGGTGACCTCCTTCACACAGGGTCCAGACACCTCCAGACCCCTCCTTCCTGCCCTGGTACTGAAGCTGGCAGCTCATTCACTGTGGTCAAGGTAGAGGACAGCTGGTCCCAGAGCCACTTGGAGCCTGTGTCCTGCCAGCTTGGTAGGCAGGGTCATAGCCTCTCTGCTACCAGAGACACCAAAGGGATCGGAACACACTGCTGGGGCCCCACAGCTCAAGGTAAGGCCTGGGATTGTCTTACCTTGTCTCCATGGGACTGCGCTCAGAGAAGCTCCCAAAGCCCAGGAAACCTGCCTGTCCCTTGGGCAGGGAACTTGTCCCTGGGTTTCCTTCCCAAACAGTGACCTCAGTCCATGTCCTCAACCCAGGCCTTGCCCCAGCAGCCCTCTGGCTCAGTAAGGACCTTCATTGTGCCCTGAGGTCCTGCCTGAGGAAGATGGCCACTGCAGGCAGGTGGTTTTCCCTATCTCTGTCCTCAAGGCCAGGGACACCTTCATTCCCTCCGGAGAAGCAGAGAGAGGATCGAAGTACCCTCCAGGAGGGTCTGCTGCCCGGCAGGTCCCAGAGCTGGTGTAAGACTCATCAGCCCTGTAAGAGGCAGGCCAGGGGCAGCCAGCCAGGGACCAAGCCAGGGCCCGACAGGCAGGGCAAGGACCTGTGAGGGACGATGACAGTGTTCTCTCCTTTCCCAGCCAGCAGGGCCTCAAGCTCACCACTGGCAGCTCTGGAGGCCTGTCTGAAAGGCATTCCCCCAGGTGGGTCATCACCACTCCGGACACTGGCCACCTCTGTGTCCCAGCGGTCAGAGCTGCAGTCTCAAGGATCACACAGTGAAGGTAGACTGTGTAGTGGGCCTGGGGTAGCCTGTCACCATGCACACGGTGGAGAGAGACACCGAGGCCTCTGTTAGCTGTCCTCTCCAGCTTTCTGAAGCATGTGCCTTCTTCCCACTGCCCTCTTCCGGGCCCGGCTCCAGGCAGCTCTCCAGCGTTGGTAGCACAGTTACAAGTCTTCTTGCCCTCTTCTTCTTGGAGAACTTTTTTTTAGTTAGGAGATGAAATGTGGGGTTTGGGGATTTGCATCTGTGCCATGGGAAACCCTGGAGAGAGATACCTCAAGGCAGGGTCTCCTGGTGCCATCTACTCCATGGCCCAGGGGCCTCTTCTCCAGCAGGCTCTGCTGTGACCTGAAAATTGCTGTTTCCCGCAGAGGCCACCAAGGAGCCACCTCTGCCTCTGGGCCTGCAGGGCTATGTGAGAGAGAGTCTGGCTCAACCCTCAGGCTCCCGAGGCACCCCCACCAGCTTTTCCTCAGCCTGCAGCACCGATGGGGACCTGGATTTTGGGAGTCCTGGGGGGAGCCAGGGACAGCGGCCTGGAAAAGGTGAGCTACCAACCCTCTGGGACAAGATGTCATACAAGGCCCCTGCCCATCAAGGTCTCTGGCCCAGTCAGGTCATCAGCCCTGTGCCAGAGCAGAGATGGGGACATTGAGGCAGGAATGGACTTGTCTTGGACAGGGTAGGAGCAGGGGTCCATTTTAGTGACTTGGTCCAGAAAGACAGGTAGTATATTCAATTTTCCTATTGAGTTAAACTCTTCATTGTCCCAGCCACAAAGATATGTGAGACTGGCCTCCAGCTTAGGGGAAAGAATAGTATGCTTTGAAAAACCAGCTTCAGAGGTGTGCTTGGGGACCTGTGCCTCCCTGGGTCTCTCTGGGAGACTCATTCCTGGGGACTTGGGGCATTGGGGTCTTCCAGTGCTTCTGAGCATCCCTTTAGCCTCTTCCCCACCTGAATAATCCAAGTACTCTTGGCCTGTCCGTGTCCCATGGGTGCACACCGGGTACCTGCTTGTATCTGTGTCCTGGCTCCATCTCTAGTTAATAGAAAGGCCTAGAACTACAGCCTGGACTCTGGCTGGGCCATGCAGGCCTTCTTCTCAGTGCCTGAGTTCCCCGGAGGAAGCCCTTGGGTGTGGGGCTTTTTGCCTGAAACGCAGCTGACTTGGCTTAATTTTTAGTTACTAATGGGTAATGAAATCAAATGTTTTTGTTCAAAAGCTACAGAAAGTTATATGGGAAAAGTAAAGTCTCTCTCTTTCCCCGCCCCACAGTCCCCATTGCGCCTCCCACAACCACCACTGAATCTGACCACCCTCCAGAGACACCTGCCATGACCAGCTTCTGTCTCCTCATGTGGACAGTGGCATTCCAGGAAGGTCCCCACCTTGCTTTTCATCTAAACATCTGCCATTGGCATGTTTCTGCATTCTGTCCTGCTAACCCTTGGCCACCAAAACCACTTCATCTTGTGTCAGGGCAGAGTGTCCTGGGGTGCACTTCTTTCTCATGTGTCCTCTGCAGATAGACATGGGTTCTAAGTAACCCAAATGGAGGGGCCTTCAAGCTGCCCTTCAGGAACTTCTGGCGCAGCCCCCAGAACCAGCAAACACCCTCTGGTAGCTCATATTCTGCCCTCCACATGCATGTGGCTTTTGGTTCTAAACTGCACCTGGGCCCAGAATTATCAGCACATGTCCCTCAGGGAGGAATGTGGACAGTTGTCTGCTTGCCTGGAAAGGGGTCTTCCCTCTAGAATTCCAGCTCGGCTCCTTCCCATTGCTGGCACAACTCCATCACTAGGATACAATTTTTACAATGTATTTGTTTTCTCAAGTGGCCTGTGGCCTGCCATATGCAGAGGACAGGAAGCCTGCGGGGTTGCCTTCTTTTGAGTAATAAAGGAAGCCTTACTCACAGTCCTTAGGGCCACCTGGTGTGTTGCCGTCCCTCACCATGGTGGCAGCTGGGTGCACTGAGAGAGCCTAGAACCACACCTGTGGCCAGGCTCCCCATTACTTCCTTCCTCCACCCTGGGTAGGCTTCTGTGAAGGTGGCCAAGGAGACAGGTCAGGCTTCTTACTTATAAGGCAGCCTGGACAGGGCCACCCCAAGCCAGGGCTGATAGATATTTGGGGCCAGGTCTCCATCCAGGGCCCTGAACTACCACAACACGTCCAAAGCTGTGTGCCTCTTCTGATGGCCCCTAGCCCTGGACGCTGCAGAAGAGGCAAGGCTCCAGTCACCCAAGAGGGCCAATGTTGGATCTTCACAGGATGCCTGCCAGGAAGCTCCCCACTCCAGGGGCTGGAGAACTGTCTCAAAGAGCTGCCGGTACCCAGGCAGCAGCCTGCCCGGGCTTGCTTCTCAGCAGCAGACAGGGAGCCCAGGAGAGTGGAACCTAAGAATTGGATGGCGTACAAGGAAGGTAACTCAGTGGTGGCCCTGGTACCTGAGAGTGGGGCTGGACAGCTTCTGTACCTTTGGCCTGGGTATGGCTGCCCCCAACTGTCTTGGGCCAGATCCACTTGAGCCAAGAAGATACTCTGGAAACAGCCAGGACAGAGGCTTGTTCTGAGGCCAGAAAGCCAGGTGGTCTGTTGAGCACACATACAGTCTCACTATCGAATGAGTGTGGGCAGAGTCCAGGACATGGACACCCTGGCCGCTATCCACTACTGCACCACACAGGCCTGAGCAGGAACCCTGTCCGCTGAGCATCTTCATCCTGCAAGCGAGCCCCACGTGGCATCTGAGGGCTCCCAGGAGTCCTTAGAGCTGGGTCCCTGAATAAAGAGATGCTGGAGGATCTGAACAGGCTCTCGTGGGCACCACTTCCCCACCCCATCTGAGACAGGCGGAGTGGGTGATCCCTTAAATTTGTGTGCCTGAGAGCCCCACAGTGGGCGGAATTCTCTGTCTATGCTTCTGTGGTAGCACAAGGCCCCACAGGGCTCACAGCCATTTTGGCTTCTCATTAAAACAGGACTGAGGGGTGAGGCCTCTGAGTCATCCTGCCTCAGACAGGGTGGAGAAGTGCCTGCCGGGAGCCTGCATCTGACCAGCCCACAGGCATTCACCTCCAGCTGCATCCGCACCTGCCACCAAGGGTTCAAAGAACAGGGGACCATCAGGCCGGAGCCATGGAAATGGCTGCAAGATGGTAAGCTGCCTCCAGTGTTACTGGCATGTTTTTCCTCCTTCCTTCTCTCTCATCCCTTCCCCAGAAGATGGAAGCAAGAGCCAGGCAGAAACTGAAATTGGTAAAAGAAAAAGATAAAGTGACCTAGTGCTGAGATCAGGGTGGGAAGACCATTGTTCTGTGCAGCCATCTGGTGGGCAAGAGCCCCCTTCCACCTGCTCTGTCCAGATAGATCCTTCTGGCAGCCTCCTGCAGGTCTGCAGGGGCAGGAGGATGGCTCAGCAGGTCCTGTGGCTTTTCTTACCCTCCTGCCCTTGCCAGCTGCTGGTCTCTGTGGTGCAGGGTAGAGGGACACAGACTGTGAGAGGCTGCAGGACTCATAGACCCAGGGCTTGGCAAGAACCTGACCACAGTGGCTTCTAGGGACTTGACACTTGTGGAAAGTTCCCCAACTGGCCTTCCGGAGCAGCCAGGGACATGGCCAGGCTTTGACTTCTCCATATGAGCTGGGGACTGAACCATGAGGGACCTGGTCGTGAACCTGGTCATCAGGGCAAACTCCTAGCTGCCATCAGGTGATAGCCAGGTGGCTCTCTTGTCATCTGCATAGGGGCAGCCCCCAGGCCCTCCCCACTGCACTGTCTAGAGACCTCTCTGAGGGGGATCTTGCCTGTGAGGCCCTTGCGCTTCGCCTGCTTGGTGGGCCCTGGCCCTGGCCCTGGCCCCAGCCCCAGCCCTGGCGCCAGCTCAAGCCTCAGCAGCTCTGATGAAGATGCACGGATGGAACCCGAGCCCTGGCGGCCACCCCTTCAGGGTGAGTCTGCTGGGGCACGGGGCAGGGGTGACCATGAGCTGCTCTCCAGGATACTGGTCAGTGCTCTGATGCCAGCTTTGTTTGTGACAGAGATAGAGCACCTTCGCAGCTGCAAGCATCCAGTTCCTCTGTCCCCTGGCCCTGGCAGGTCCCCCAGAGGCAACAGTAGCAGCAGCCCTCGTGATGGGCCTGAAAGAAGAGAGCTTGAGGACCGCAGTGGCCTTGGTGCAAGTGAGCCTGAGTCCCTGCATGCATCCACGTGTTCCCACAGGGCCCGGGGTCCAGACTGAGTTCTCCAAGCCCCCTTGTTACTCTGCCTGGGGACAGAAAGTCCTCTACATTTGTGCCTGTAAGGGAAGCTGAGGCGGGAGAAGTTGGGGCCCTTGAGCAGGGTACCCAGAGCAGGGCTTGCGCGTGACTGGAGGCAGGATTCTTGGCAAGCCACTCGATGACACATACTTAATACTATATGTGCACAATAGGTATGAGTGTGTTTATAAGATGATAACATTGTCGTCGTGTAACTTTTTGAAAACTTGGCAGTCAACAAAAGAAACATCAAAAGCAAAAATTCTTGGAGGTTGTCCTGTCAAGAAAGTTAGAAATGCCACCTGCTGCCCCCAGCCACCACTCTACCACCCAGGTTTGTGACCCAGTGTTTGCTCCCAGTAGGAAAAGCAGAAGGGACAGGAGACAAGCCCCGGTCACCCAGGAGAGAAGAGGCCGCAGAGAGTGCCTGCCTACCCATCCCTCTCAGCAGTGCCGCAGGAGAAGGAGGTAGGGCCAGGGAGTTAGTCAGGGGCCGGAGCTACTCCGTCCACAGGCCTCGGCCTCTGCCTTGCGCCCCTGCACACCACATTCCTCATTGCCCCATGGCCCTGCAGAAGATGTCAGGAGGACTTCTTGTGGTCCAGGGGATGCCCCCAGCACATCCTTGGGGTATCTTGCTGGGGGCAGGACCTACCTAATGGATCCCTGAGCATAAGGCGGGAGCTGCAGAGGACACTGAGACACTCCAGCACAGCCCTCCTGCTGGGAACAGGGCAGGGGCTGCACACCAGGGCCTTTACTCATGTGCCCATTTCACCAGAGCCAGGGTCCCTGACGGGCCCAGTGTCCATCTTGCATCTCATTTAATCCTTGTTTAAAAGTGGAAAGCTCGATTTTTTTTTTTCCCCCACATTTCAACATCCTCATGTCAGAGTGGCTCTGGCAAAATTACATGTGTCCCTGTCCCAAGTGCCCTGTGCTCTTTCCACAGAGGCAGCGGGCCATCCCTGGCCTGCCCCTCAGCTGGAAAAAAGGCCCGGTTCCGGGGGAGGTGAAGAACCCAGAAGCCAAGAGCCTGGATGTGGAAGGCACAGTGTTGCAGGTGAGCTTGGTGGCTTCCCGGTCCCCTCTGCACTGGCCAGGACCCCAGCCTCCAGTTCCAAGAAGAAAACACCCTCCCAAGTTTGTTGTGCAGGTTGTGGGCAGGGAAGGTCTGACCTATGAGCCACTCCTGGTGCCCATTTCGCTTCAGTGTCTCGTTACAGGAACTGAGAGGGTTTCCCAAGACCTCGTGCAGTGAAGAAATTGTCCTGAATCAAAATTTGGGGTTTGAGGGGACTTCAGAGAATAGATGAGGAAACAGTGACCAGCACTGTTGAGTGACCTGGCCAGGGTCATCCCAAAATCTTTGGTTCCAAGTCACACTTCTGAGGAGCCACAGTGAGACAGGCAGGAGGTCAAGTCACCTGTTCCCTGGGTCACGTTGGGGCAGCCTCATACCAGGGACTTGGGAGTGTGGCCTGGAGTGGGGGTGCACTCTGGGCTGGCCCCTGCCCTCCCTCAGGGCAGGGCCACGTCCTTACTTCAACTGAAGAATTAGACCAGACAGGGCTTGGGGCCTTGGGGCCTTGGACTACTCAAGCCATCACTCTGCTCCACCTGCAGCTCTGGGGTGCTGACAAGAGAAGGGCAGAGCCTTGGCTGGGGCGCAAGAACAGGGGTAGCAGTTCCGTCCACCCAGTCGGCCAAGTGCCTTAAGAAATGGCAGGGTCTGGCCTCGGGCTGCCTGCAAGGCTTACCTTGGGAGAGCCCAGCTCCAGGGGAATTGGGGGTAAAGGATTAGATGAGTTTTCTTTTGTGGAGGGATACTAGGGGATTAAACTCAGGGGTGCTTTACCACTGAGTAATACCCCCAGGCCTTTTTTATATTCTATTTAGAGACAAGGTTAGCCTTGCTAAGTTGCTGAGGTTGGCTTTGAACTTGAGATCCCCTGTCTCAGCCTCCTGAGCTACTGGGGATTACAGGTGTACACACTGCACCTGCTAGATTATTTTTTAATATAATTTAAGACATCAAAATCTCTCAATCTATAACTTTTGAGTGAGGGGGGCATTTGTATCCAAGGGCACTGGGTATTGAGTGACCCCATTGGAAATATCCTAATGGTTCTCAGCTGGACTCCTGGCCCATCTCCTGGGTGCTCACCCTCAACCCTAGCCTTGTTCCATTGGGGCCTTCTCTGGGCCCTTCTCACTGACCCCCCAGGGCAGGGATAGGTGGAACATTTGGCCCTAGTGGTGGCAGAGGAACGCACCAATTTTTTTTTTTTCCCCAGAAGTTGAAAGACCACTGTCCTGAGAAAGCTGGTCACCATGGAACCCGTGTCTGGCTGGTCCTACCCATCAGGGTGGGGAATGGCAGAAGATGGCAATTTGGCTGTAATGAGGCGTAGCACCCGTGTTCTCTAGCCCGAGGCAACTTCCTTCACTCTAGAAGCCAGGCTTAGAGCAGGCATGACACTGAACACTAGTGCAAGGGAACTGGGGGTCAAAAGCTCCTTACAGCACAGAAACTCTAACCTTGTCCTCACTCTGGTTTTAGCCAGGACCCAAAGGAGGCAGCTCCCCAGGGACCCACCTGAGCCACCCAGCAAGTGTCCCCTTCCGGCAGCTGTCTCACCGTTGTGGCCAGCTGCCTCCCCGCAGCCACCATGCCCCTGTGGGAGGGCCCTGCAACAGGAGCTGCACAGTCTTGGTGCTGCGCTCACAGAGAAGCTGGACCAGCTGGCCACAGCCCTGGCAGGACTGGCTCAGGAAGTAGCCACAATGAGGACCCAAGTGGATCGGCTGGGGAGGCGCCACCAGGGTCCTGGGCCAAAGCGCCAGGCTTCCTGGCCCTGGTCACTCCCCCGGGGGCCTCGCTGGGCCAATGGACTGGGTCACAGACACGTGCCCTATTGGAGGCAAAAGGGCCCTGCCAGACCTAAACCAAAGATCCTGCGGGTCCAAGCAGAAGGCTGCCGGACAGGTGACCCCCTGGGACTCCCCAGAGGGAGGGTCCACCTGGTGCCCCCTGATGCTCCCCCAGCAGAACCTTCCAGACCCAGACCCAGCCCATCCCAGCAGCCCCCCTCCATGGCACCCAACTGCCACACTGTGCTGACTGGGCACCCCCTTCTCGGACATCCTGGGTGCCAAGGCCCTCTCCCCACTTTTGTGCCTGCCGCCTTACCCCCCTGATGACTCTTGCAACAAGTGCAGACTTGGAGCCACTGCCTGCAGGGGCAGCACCAGTCAGGGTCCAAACCAGGCAGGGATCTTTGCAGCCTGCTGGGAGAGCCCTCCTGGGGACCCTCTGGGGTGGTGAACACAGGAGCCCACGGTGAGGCCCCTCAGCAGCTCAGCTGTCTGAGGGTGCAGGGCAGCCTGGGTGCCCCTTGCCAGCCCCAGGCTGCCCTCTACCAGGATGGGCCTTCCTCCCCTGCTCTGCTGGCGTCCCCTTGCCAGACGCCCGCCCTTTGCCCTGGTTGTGCCAGCTCAGTGGCGTCTGCTCAGGAGGCTGCTGTGGGGTGCACTCCTCACTATGCCTCTGGTGTCTTGGCTCAGGTTCAGTCAGATGCTGCTCCCTCCTGTCCTCACGAGGACCATCCACACTCAGGTGGTGGTGTGTGCGCGCACAGAGCCGTGTATCGGGACCATGAGGCCCTTTCCCTGACCACCGCCCCTCCTGATCTTGGAGCCCAGCAGAGGGCTGGGCCCTTGCTTTCCTGGAGTAAATGCTGGCACATGTGGTTTTGAGAGAACTCTGCCCTGCGATCTAAGCTGGATGACCAGTGTGGGTTCTAAAGGATGTTAGCTGCTGAGGAAGGGCCCTTGGCTCCTATAGGAAGGCACTTGGTGGGGGCCCACACTGGGGCATGGTTGGCTGGACTGGGCCCCCAGTACAGTGGGGACAATGCAGCTCAGCGTCCCACGTAATGCACCTCTGGAGACGCCAAGGCACCTTAGCAGTGCTGCTCCTCAGGGTTGGTTCTTTCTGCTGGCCACGAGGGCAGGTCTGTACCGGCCTCTGTGCACAGGCACAGAGAGGTGCCGTCTTTGTATGTGCAGTGTCTCGTGCATCTCTGTCTCCGGGTACCTGCTTTGTGTCAGGGTGCCAGCTGTGTTGGGGAGGCCTGCCCTCGGAGCTCATTTCACCCTGATCACTTCTATAAAGACCCTCTCTTTAAGTTAGGCCTGAGGTCCTGAGCACAGGCTGGGACACCGGCCCATGACACACAAGGGAATGGGGTCAGTCTTGGGTTTGTCTTGGACACCAGTGGCATGACCACTGTCACTAAGCAGGCTCCTGCCCTGCTGGGTGGGACAGACCAGCTGTGGCCCCGTCGTGGACACTGGACAGTGCTCCAGTGCTGCCCGCCTCATCTCCAGAGCTGGGGCTCCACCCACATCCTCATTTAATCTGAAGAACGTCCAGGAACTGTGCCAATGCACACAGGGCCCTGGGGACCCTGGGTGCCCCTGCTGAAGCCCAAGGCCACGAGGGATCTCTGTCCACAATGACCACGCAAGCTGCTTTGCCCAGTGTGTCCCTAAGGCGTGGGCCACTGGAGACAGCTGTGACCTGATGCCCCTCCAGGTCCTGCGTGGGGCTCACCCCTCCTTGCTGCTGGCTGCCAGTGGTGTCTCAGCAGAGCAGCCCGGGGCCGAGACCACCAAAAGGGGCATTTAAGGTACTTACAGGACCAGAGCAAGTGCTGAGGTGATGGCGAGGAAGTCGGCACGCGTCGGATTGTGTAGGCAGGGTGTTGGCTGGAAGAGTGGCCTCTCCGCTGTGCTGACAGGACGGGAAAGTCCTCAGCTCCTGTTCCAGAGTAGCACTGGGCACTTTTCAGCACCAGCAGGCAGGGGTAGGACGCAGACTGGCTGGAGAGGTGTCCCACGTGGGTGGCCCTTGCCTGGAGGGAGGGAATTCTGTCCATCTGCTGAAACACGCCCTCTCCTCTCTTCTCTCCCTTCTAAGCAGGGGCAGTGGGAAGGGTCCCACTTTGAGTGGGACATCAAGGTGGTTTTTGTCCCCTGGGCTTTACAGACAGCACATGAGCCCTATGCCACAGGGGCAAAGGGACAGTTTGGCACATGAAATACTTGCTCAGGGTTGCAGCTGCCATTGGTAGATCTGGGAAGAGTTAGCATTCTCATTGCTGCCCGGCACTTGGCCCCTCCTCCTCGGTGCACCACCTCCTCCTGCCTGAGTCTGCCCCTGACAGGAGAGTCAGGACTGACCCAGCCCAGGTTGTCCAGGGCTCACCAGACTACTGTGGTCACCATGGGATGTGAATGGTTAAATGGTAGGAAGTTCCCTGATGGGCAGCTGTGTTCATCTTGCAGGAAGCAGGTCTCTAGCGTCTTCCATGATTGCTAGCTGAAGAGCCTTCTAGAGTCTGATTTGATGAGAGGCTATATACAATATAGGTATTTGGTGCTGTGTCCAGCTGCTGTGCAGGGGCTCTTTTGGAGAAGAAATGTAGCCACTTTGAGGAAAACAGGACCTTTCTGAGGGGCCTGGAGGTGGGGACAACGAAGGCTCCAGGTCTGCATGCCACCATCCTGGGAAGCAGCTCCCAGCTGGCCTGAGTGCAGGTCCTCCCTCCCTCCCTCCCCACCCAGCTCATGAGGGGCCCTCCGCCTACTCCATCTCCCCCTGCCAGCCCAGGCCCTCATGAGGCAGGAAAGTGGGAAGGTCCCACTCAGATGTGAGTAGGTTTCCCATGTCCCCACCTAAGCCACCCCTAAGTGTCCAGTGGAATTGGGGGAGAGAGTACAGGGACCACAGTTCACTGCCTGTCAACACCATGCAGTTCACTGCTCCCTCCTAAAGGGGCCTCAAGCACTGGTAGCCAGATTGCTCTTGGGTTTGTTAATACCTTTTTAGATATTGATGAAGCTTTATTTTATTCATTTATTTATATGCGGTGCTGAGAATCGAACCCAGGGCCTTACACATGATAGGCAAGTGCTCTACCCCTGAGCCACAAACCTAGCCCCGCCAGATTGCTCTTGACCTCACATCTCCATGTGTTAAATGTGCCTCCTATCAACCACCTACATGTGGATTTTATCTCATAATCCATCTTAAATTTTATTCTGGGACCCCTTAACCCATTTAAATGTAACAATTACAGATAATACTTAGGATTGAATGTAGCATCGTAGTGTGTGCCCTGTATTTACCCCACATGTTCAAGGGTTTTATTTTTGATGTTGTCATTTATTTGGGATTTTCTCTTCTCCTCCCCCTCATTCTTTTCCTCTTTCCTGTCAAATTTGGATTGACAGTGTTGCTATGGGTCGGCGGTGGGGGCAGTTCTCATTCATTCCATTTTTCCCTGCGCTACCTTAAAGGACTAATAGTAGAAAGTTCCAAATTGACCATCATCTGGGATATTTTACCATACTTTCTTCAAAGGTTGATAAGACAGATCAGGAAGGAAATACAAGATCTGAACAAGCCAATTAACAGAATCCGCCTGATCAGGGGACACAGAACACTGCACTGTAGGACTACTGAATACACGTTCTTTGCAAGCAGATGCCAAACATTTAAAAAAAAAAAAAACAGACCAAGCAGTTTACACAAGTGTAAAAGTATTGAGATTATATGAGTATGTTCTCTGACTGACCATGCCTTATCTTTTAAGCTGGAATCAAGCAGCAAAATGTAACCAGAAATTCTGTATATTCAAAAAATCGGAATTATACTGCTAAAATGACACGTCAATGAAGACATCATAATGGAAGCTAGAAGCATCTAGAACTGTAAGCAAATGCCATGTATCCAAACTTGTAGCATAAAGCTGAGTACTTGGGCACAGATGAGCTCGTGATGGCTGGGAACTCAGGAGCTGCCAACTGAACAGCAGAGCAAGTCCACGCCAAAGTGAATGAGGAGAAAGAGACAGCAGAAAGTAATGGAATAGCATACTGCAAAAGATGGAGTCAGCACCACAAAAATGTCATTACCACAACCAATAACACTGATTGGGCTGTGGTGAAATTTGTCAATGGGAAGAGAGAGCACAGCCAGGCTCCATGGCGCATGTCTGTAATCCCAGCACCTGAGGAGGCTGATGCAGGAGGGTGGCAAGTTCGAGATCAGCCTCAGCAACTTAGAAAATAAAGCACAAATCTGCTTCAGGAATGAAAAGGGTGCATGACTTCAGGTACCACAGACAAGAGGAAGATAAGATGATACAAGCAACTTTTTGCCAAAAATCTGGAAATTTAGTTAGAATATTAAGCTCCCACAAGAATACACCTTTAAAAAAACATAAAAATTGTTATATTAATGTGGTAACATGGAATGTTTTGATACATCCATACTTTAGGTAATGTGAAACATATCTGTGCCTTCAAATAGTTACCATTTCTTTCTTTTTGTTTTTTAGTTGTAGTTGAACACAATACCTTTACTTTATTTCTGTGTGGTGCTGAGGATCGAACCCAGGGCCCCATACATGCTAGATGAGTGCTCCACTGCTGAGCCACAACCCCAGCCCTCAAATAGTTACCATTTCTTTACGGTGAAAACTTTAATTTACTCTTACCTCTTGCTTAGTTTTCAGAATGAAAAGTGTGTGGCCCACTTAGACTTGATGAGATATTCAGGCAATCTGCATTACTATTCTTTAAAAAAGTTATCCCTTATATTTCCTCCTTTGCCCTCACGGCCTCTTTTTGACCCCTTTCTCCCAGCACACACACATTTGAATAAAGTTCCTGATGAGGAAACAGGCAAAAAAAAAAAAAAGACACCTTTAAACAGAAGCAATATGAGAGAAAACCAGAGCAGTTCTATACCAATGAAAAAAATTGCTTCCATCATGAAACATCTTTCCGTAAAAGAAGCCGCAGGCCCAGAGGTGGCGTGGGGACTTTCTACCTCCCATTTGCAGGGAAATTATGTCAACAATACACAATCCTCTCCAGAGGAACAGAGAAACATGGGCTCTTTAGCTGGTTTATGAGACAAGCATAACCTTGAAACTGACTTCAGAAGCATAATCCAGAGAAGAAAATCACTGGCCAGTCTCAGAACATGTACACAGAAGCAGAAATCCTAAATAAAATATTCCCAAATCACTCATCCACGTATAAGAATAATAAAACACCATAGCCAGGCATGGTGGCACACTCCTATAGAATCCCAGCCCCTCGGGAGACTGAGGCAGGAGGATTGCAAATTCAAGGCCAGCCTGGTAACTTGTTGACCCTGTCTCAAAATAAAAAGGGCTGGGGACGTACCTCAGTGATAGTGCATCCCTGGGTTCGATCCCCAGGACCAAGAAGAAAGAAAAGAAGAAGACATCATGGCCATGTTTGATTTTTGAAATTCAAGAATGATTTTTGACAATTGAAAATCACCAATAGTAACTGGCATTCCTACTGAAGGAAGAAAATTGTGATCATCTCGATGGCTATAGAAAGACCATGTGATCAAAGCCCACACCTGTACGTATTCTAAGTAAGTTAGGATGAAAAGGGAAATTTCTTTCTTTGGTAAAAATTGCAAACAAACAAAAAAAGCTTAATACTTAACGGTGGCATATTTAAGTGTATCCTCAGCCTGGGAACAAGAGAGGAGTCCCCTCAGACACTATTATCAGTCTTATACTATATATTCTAGCCAGGTCAGGCA